TGATATTCAAAAGCAGGTTTGATGTGACCAGGGCACTGCCAGTGGTTGGCAAACTCATTAGTCAACAGAGCCAAATATCAACAGTACAACGATTGAAATTTCTTTTGAGAGCCAACATTTTTAAACTTAAACTATATAGGTAGGTACACTGTTAATAACTTAATTAGGGTACTCCTAAGGCTTAGGAAGAGCCACACTCAAGGGGCCAAAGAGTCGCATGTGGCTCGTGAGCCGCAGTTTGCCGACCATGGCACCATTCCTCTTATCTTTCTAGCTTTCCTGAGCTACTATAGAAAGTATATAATAAGGGTGATGTCTGATGATATCCTATTGAATGAAATGAGTTCTCACCCACATCCTCAATCTCATCCTCACCCCCACTCCCTCTGCCTCTTTATTTATTATATGAAAAAAACATATGCTTATTCTCATGCCAACTCAAATACCATATTTTCTTTGAAGTCTTTTCTAACTTTCCTAGGCAAAGTAATCTCACTCCCTAATCTTCCCATGGCATTTTGTGCATAAATATTGCAACACTTATTACATGGTCTTGTTGATTTTAGATCTGTTTCTTTGACTAATTTATGGCTACCCAATGGCATGGTTAGTCCCTTTTATCTCTCTCTCTTTTTTTTTTTCTTTTAAGTCTTGGGAAACTTGCAACAAGAAAGTGCTACATAAATGCTCGTTAGTCTCCTATTTTAGATATTAAAGCCGTTTCTTTTCCCAACCACTATTTACTTAAATACTCTTTAATAAAAATGCAGTGGAATAAGATGGTTGGTTTTAAACACCATTTTGTGTTTAGTGGGACAGTGGCAATGAAGCACTCAGAGACTGGGGCACAGCCTTCTTACTTTTAAAAACTGTGTTCCATGGGATTTCAGGAAATGGTGTAAATGATATATGAGTCAGTCTCCTATTTGATGCCTCTTCTGCTTTTTTCTTCTATGATTACTTCTATCTGGGATGGAAAATTGAAAATATAAGGAAGTAGGAGATCACATAACTTTATTTTGGCATAAAGAGAGAATTTCCTTTTGGGAACAGAATGTTTAAAGGCAATATTTGTGTTTCTTTGTCTCCAACAGGCTAATTCTGCCCTGTACTGACCCAGGTGGGGTGACAGACTCCATTACTTGGATATAAGCCATTCGTCCTAGGATGATGAGTAGCGAAAGAAAGTAATTAAATAAACAATATCAACTTATATTTAAAGCCTATATTACAACTTAATTAGAGGAGAAACTTTGTGATATATACTTGAAAGACAATTGAAGAAGCACATAAAGACATTGAAACTATTTTAAGTCAATTAAAGAAATTCATTTGTCAAATTTACTGTTCTCAATAAACTGCCTCTTAAAAAAAGGGAATAAAAATTTGCGAAGTATAATTTTTAAAATTAAAAAAATTAATATGAAAAGGTAATATGATTTCAGTAAAATGTACTATAATTGTCCTTAAGTTATATCTCAGGTATGATGGCAAAACCGTGGTATAGATATTTTCACATCCCTTTTATAACAGCATAGATATATAAGTAGTATAAATTTGAAGAAATCCAAAAGGATTATTGTAATATTTAACTGTTATTTTGATAAGCTTTTATTGTATTTTATGCAGGATCTAGGGTCCTATTGTGAATACCTTTTTAAAAAATGCTCTTTAGTTTTTGTCTAACCTGAGTGTATACATTTGAACTATTTAATAGGAGCTTAAATTAACTTCTTAAATGCAGTAAGTGGGGTTGATATCCTTTTAAGGTTTTAATTTAGGAAGAACACACACATATTGATGGAGAAAGCAAATAAAAAATAATAGCAATGGGTAGAAAATTAACTCAGTTGAAAAAAGTATGTAGAGCATTTTATTTTATAAAGAAAGACAAAGTAATAAGGGAAGTTAAAAAGTTATTGTATACTATTTCTTCATTAACAAATGGGAGAAAGACAGAATAACATGGTTTAAACTGAATAAATCACGTTTAAATGGGAATAACATTAACACATGTCCCTGGGCAGAAATACTCACAAATGCCCTCTTGCCCCCCATGAGAATAAAAGTCATTTTGAGGTCATTCCATACTACCTGAATAGATGGAGCATATTTGCTGGAATCAATGCTTCCCTGTGTAGGTAAATTTAAACCCTCGATGTAGTGGATAGCATGCAGGGCCAGGTCAGACAGATTTGCTTACAAAGCATCTCCTGCTACTTACTACCCAAGTGAACTCTAGAAAGACACATATTGAATATGTGTCCTTACTATATTTTTAAAAGTTATCTTTATTATTGAAACTATTACAGATATTCTTTTTTCCCCCCATTGACCCCTTCTAGCCCACACCCATGCCCCTTCCTCAGGCCTTCACCACACTGTTGTCTGTGTTCCTTTTTTCCCCCCATTGACCCCTTCTAGCCCATACCCATGTCCCTTCCTCAGGCCTTCACCACACTGTTGTCTGTGTCTATGGGTTATGCATATATACATATATTTACTTTGGTTAATCTCTTCCTGTGTCATTATTTTTAACTGTAAAATATGAACAGTCATTCTTTAAAATCGGGGCTTGGTTAAAGATAAAGTGAGATTAAATGAGATATACAATATAAACCATTTCAGATTCTCATAAATCACTAGCCTTCTGCCTAACCCCCTCTGGTGTCTCCTGAGACATAAAACTTTAACCATTTAAATTGATTTAGGACCTTTTGTTTCTATCAGAGCAGTAAGATAAAAAAAAAATCCCTTTAGAAACAACTGAAAAAGCTAGATAATATGTGAGAAAAATCTGTTTTAAACCATCTGAGGGCTCCTGAGACAGCCAGAGTTTAGAGGTTAAGACCATAGAGCGGAGAAAACTGTTAAGAGATGAGTCCATATTCTTCAACTGATTTCTCATCGCAGCATTGGTGATTTCTGGTGCAGGGCCAATATTTAAGAATCCAGGCACAGTGTAAAGATCCAGCAGACATTCCCTCTATGTTGTTGACCTGGCTTACAGAAAGCAGAAAATTTGAAACATCAAGATATATACCACATGAGTGCCCATTGTTCTGGGGGGGAAAAGAACTATAACAAAGTGTGTAAAGTATCAACTCTTTTTTCTTTCTTTCTTTTTTTTTCCTGAGGCACTTTGAATTCTTAAGCTTCACAAAGCTAGAGGCTAAGATGTCAACCAAAAAGCCACTGAAAGCACAGTCAGGCTTTCCTCTGTTTCATGGTTAGACTAATTTGTCATTCAGGAACTCCTGGGAAGAAAAAGGTCTTAGTCTACTTCTCAGTCCTTCAACCGAGAAGCCTCGCAGGCTATACCTCAGCAGCAATGCATAGTTTAGCCTATACTGAAAGAATGCACCTAGACTCAAATAAATTCAGTGTCCGTTTAAATTCAGGTGATGTTCCCGTATCCCCATTTTGGAGAAGCACACTTCCAAAGAAAGATAGTATTAGTGTAATTCAGAGATGCTTCACTTTTTGACACATGGAAACTAGCATCCCATCAAGAATAACCAGGCATTTCACAAAATAAAAGGGACCAAGTGGAGAGTGAAAATAAATAAATAAATTTAAAAAATGCAACCCATTTATTACACAGATTTGATGTTATGAAACACAGATTTGAAAGTGTAATTAATACAACCAAAATACAGATGGCAAGATGATATTTCTAAACAAATTAGTCTGAAAAGAGCTTTCCTGTAATCTTTCTATGTTGTTTCCTAAATTTATAACAGGCTGACCTTATCCTAACAAATGTATTATTTCAAATATGCTGAGGTTAAAAAATTATGAGAAAACCAGCAAATAAAAATTTGAGAATCATACAATGGAGTCCATGAAATTAAGAACTAAATAGATGATGTTCTTAGGAAAACTAAATTACAATTAGAGGGCTGTCATTAAATGATAAAAAGCGTGCCCTGCTGGCATGGGTCAGCAGTTGAACATGGACCTATAAGCCAGGAAGTCACCGTATGAACCAGTAGGGGGTGTGTAGGAGTCAGTGGAGCAATGATTCTCATCATTGATGTTTCTATCTCGCCCCTCCCTTCTTCTCTGCAATATATATATATAATGTTGAAAATATTACAGATGCGTTATATATTTTAAATTTAACTTTGTGTTTTTTAATAATAGAAAACAAAGGTAATCTATCAGTTTTTTTGTAAGAGTATACTTAAATTAACCCCAAAGTTAATGGTACCAATGGACAGTATTTGGAATATATTTAGACATTGGGTACTTTAAAATATGAAATGCAGCCAATATTTCTCTACTCTCCTCTGTAATTCTTTTCTTAGAGTTAGTTCAATTTGACACTTAGCATTAACATTTCAGGTTACAAAATATAAATATATGAAAGTAAACATAAACACAATACAAGACTTGGTATAAAACGATGTATTCCAAAAATATATCACTATCAAAAAGAAAGTGCTGGAGGGAGACCTACTGCATGAAATATACAATACATTGCATCATTGTGGAATTTCTCCCAGATGCATCTCGGTAAGATACTTACTTTATCTTTGCTTCCCACTACTTCTCTTTCCTTAAGAAATGCAAAGCCCTTAATGTTTTTGGTCCTTGTAAAAGTCATGTTTTCCTCTTATACTCTCTGCTTTGCCTCCCTCCAGGAGTCTCTAATTTAGTATAACTTACTAGGGAACATATACATGAATGTAGGAGCTAACTCTGGAAATGCAGCCAGATCAGTGCTTAAAGCACATCAAAGTGACCAGGTAATGAGATATCCCCCCGCCCCCATGATAAATGCCCTTATGGCCTGAAATATCAATGAGATATCAACCACTTCTTTGGACCCTGCTGACTCTGATCTAATGCTTGAAAGACTAAACTTTGCACAGCATTTTCTAGATCTAGAGCAGTGTTATTAAAGAGGGATTTGCCTTAATATTTTTAATTACATAATTGATGATACCCCACTCATTCCATACAAAACATTACTTCTACTTAAAGCTAGAACTTACTGAGTTTACATATCCTTTTGTTCACTGTAGACATCTTACCAACAGATACTACTGTCTTAGAAGATTGAGCTTTCATTTGAACCTTATTAACAAGAAAGGACTTAGAACGTTCTGTTTGGTAAATAGAAAACTATCGACATCTTCCATCTGGAAAACAAACCAAGGCAGATACTGATTATTTTTAAATGAGTTTCATAAAAGATAGTACATTAGTCAGGGTTATCCAGAGAAATAGAATTTAAAGAATATAGACATAGATATATAGAAAGTTTATTATGTTGGGTTGGCTCCTATGATTATATAGGCTGCTAAGTTCTACCATTTTCCATCTGCACCTGAATGTCCAGGAAAACAAGTATAGCTCTAGTCTCCAAGGCCTGAGAACCAGAAGTGTTAGCTAAAGCAGAAAGCAATTCTGTCTTCCTCTGTCTTTTTGTTCTACTGATGCCCTCAATTGATTGGTTGGTGTCTACTGGAATTGGTGAAGGTGATCTTTATTCAGTCTACCAATTCAAATGCCAATCTCTTTCAGAAACACTCAGCAACACACCCACAAATCATGTTTTATCATCTACCTGGGCACCCTTTGCATAATCAAGTTGATGCATAAAATTAAACATCATATTCAAAAAGTTTGAAATTTGCTTTTACTATATATATTTTGGGGGGCATGGAGGAATTTAATATTCAAGAATAAAACTTTCCACAGGATAGTGATAGCTTGAGAGACATGGAAATGAAAGCATCTATAATAATAAAAGTGTAATATGCTAATTAGACCAGGCAGCCAAACGACCTTCTGGACATCCTTCTGGGTGACCTTCCAGATGACCAAACTATGACACCCAAAGTGGGTGTGATGCAGTTGGTTGGGGCCCCGGCTGTCACCCCATGATCACCCTGCAGAAGGAGGCGCAGGCCACCAGCCAGCAGGGAGATTGATCAATTGAGGGGCTCCACAATTGCCCCAAAGAGAGAGGCTCAGGCCACTGACCAGCAGGCTGTGACAGGTGGGCCGGGCCTCCCTCTGCAAGGGCGATCCATCAAGGAACCCCAGCTGGGTGGGCGGGGCCCATCTCTTTGGGGTGGTTGATCGTACGGTTTCCAGACTGGGAGAGGGCACAGGCCGGCTGAGGGGCACCCCTCCAGTGCACGAATTTTGTGCACCGGCCTCTAGTGATATCTATAAAACAACAAATAAAAATACTACTGAGGTTGTAGGTGGGAGAGGTAGTTATGAAAAATAGCACATCCAAGAATAAAAATAATTACTTAACGTTTAACCTGTTAAAACATTTGAACACAGAGCAAGAACATGTGGCAGTGTTTACCTGAAGCAGAAAAGCAGAGCCTCACCTTATCCAAAATGAGTCCAAGCAAATATCTCTAACCTCCTTTTAGATCTTGGTAGGATTTTGTTTGTTTATTTGTTTGATACAGGATGCATTCTTGGCACTGCATGAGGTAAGGATAAATTTAAAAATATGTAGTTAAAGAATCATATTAAATAAAAAAGCTAAATGTTAAAGGATTAATTCTTGCTTGAAAGAAAAAAAAACACTAATTCTTATTTTCTAATTTGACAGTAAAATTTTTGTCCTTTAAAAGTGGTGTGTCTTTAGATGATCTTAAGGTTAAATAAATCTAATAAGTCATTCATACTGAAATAATAAGCACTGCACATGGTATGTTCATTGCTAATGGGACCAAGATTTATTTTGAAATTATTTTTCCAGCTTATTAATACTATCATGTAAAGTTTAGAAAAATATGAGTAGTTATAATTATTTTGGAATATAACTGATCAAGTCCTGCTAACATAAATCCAAAAGAGTTATCATTGCATATTCAAGGAACTAAATGCTTAACAAAACTTAGTATGTTAATGTAATCTCTTCTTACTTTTCTCCCTTAAATGTTGGTAGATATATTACATACAAATGACCACAATTTTCTTATTCTTTACCTACTTCCTAGGGGATAGTGCTTGTTAAATATATCATATACTTTCTTTTATAAACTTGCATGTTAGATATATTACCAATACCTCTGGGGTGAATAAAAGCTCTGCTGATCAAATGTAAAAATCCACAGCTGCTCTTCCATAGCCCCCAGTTTTCTCATATTTTTTCTGTTATTGTTAAGTCTAATTGTTTGCACATTAGCTTTTAATATAAAACTAGCCAGATACAGAAAAGTAAGACTTAGTAATAATGGTTGGATTTATAAGCCCTTCAAGAGCCAAGGAACTCTATGGCATTCACAGTCCCAAAACTGTGTAAATGTGGATTCTGGGAATGTTAGCAGGTCATGTAGCAAGTTGATGGCAAATCTAGATGACAATGGCAATTTAAATGTCTATAATGTTTTACAATTCTCCGATACTTTCCCAAAATTGTGTCACTATATTCTCACTATAACTCAAGGAAATAAGTAGTACAAGCATTATATCTTCATCTTTTCTCTTTTTATAGAAGAGTAATTTTGGGAATAGAAGGCCCATAAGACTTTACCAAAATCACAAGGTTAGTAAGAAAATTAACCAGTAGAAAACTTGGGAATAATTTCCTTGAGAATAGTCAATATTCCTTTCAAATAATTTCTGAATACCACTATGGGTCAAACATTATTTTAAGAATTACTGTAATGACTAAAACAGACTAGATGTCTGTTCCTTTATATTTTAGGGAGGAAGATACATAGTAAACACACTGATAATAGAATATGTATTAATTTTTCTTATAGCAATAAATGTTATAAAAATTAAAATACAGTAATGGGGTAGATCGTGACAGTGACAAAGGTGATAGAATGATCAGAGACAAATTCCCTGCTAAGCTAACAAAGGCATAATGAACTAAATGATGAAAATAAACAAGTGATTGCAAAATTTGTCCGAAGAGCTTCTAGGCAGAGGGAACAGCATTTGTACTGGAGAAGGATGTTTTGATATCAATTGGACAATGTGGCCTCAGACCACTGAGTTAGTGGGAGAGTAGAAAATATGAGGTCAGAAAGTCTGCAGATGGTTCAGGTAAGTGCTTAGGGTTCTTTAAAAAGTGTGTTCAAGAGTCATTGCAGGTTTCTGTAGGAAGGGGTGCATTTAAAGAGGCTGTCTTAACTGCTATTTCACGTTTTTTTCTAAAACATAATTTGCATATCTATAATAATAAAAGCATAATATGCAAATCAACCCAACAGCGGAACAGCAGGACGACCGTCCAGATCACCATGCTATGACAGCACTGGTGCCGAGACAGCCAAGGCAGGTGAGATGTGATTGGTTGGGGGGTCTCCATCAACCCACAATCACCCCAAAGAGGGAGGTCCAGACCACCCACTGCCGGGCGATCAATTGGAGGGGGTTGGCTCCTCCGTGATCGATCAGCCAGTAGAGGGAGGCCCAGTCCACCGGCTGAGGGATTGATTAATGGGCGGGACTCCACCATCGCCCCAAAGAGGGAGGCCCAGGCCATTTCTGCAGGGCGAATGATTGCGGAGGGAGATGTGAGGGGGCGGGGAGAGTGGGCTCCGTGGAACCAGGGAAGAGTGGTATGTGGTGGCGGAAGCAAGCAGCTCCAGGCCAAGTTGGGTGCGGGCAGGGGGCAGGGCCCCAGGCTGCAGCTGGGGCTGCGAAAGCCTACCCTTAAACAAATATCGTGCATCAGGCCTCTAGTTATTTTATAAAATCAAAACACATTGTATTTATTATTTATTATTTATTGAATTTATTGTGGTGACATTGGTTAATAAAATTATATAGGTTTCAGTTATACAATTTACATTACATCATCTGTCTATTGTATTTTGTGTTCACCATCCAAGTCAACAGTATCATCTTCAGGATCAGTTCTACATTCAAATCTTATCTGCACCTTTATATGCCATGCAAAGTTATAGATTCCATTTTTCATTAGGAACATGCATAAATATTGAGTATCTTAGAAGACTAGTACAAAGCATGAATTTATGACATATCTATCAGACAACTGTATATCTATTTTAATGAAGTCCCATTACCAGTTTAGAAAAATTCTGTTAAAATTATGTTTCACCTGCCCTGGCCAGCATTACTCAGTGGTTAGAGTGTCTGCCTGCACATCAGAGGATCGTGAGCTTGATTTCCAGTGAAGGGTATCTGGTTGCTTGTTCATCTCCAGCCTTGGTCGGGATTGAGGTGTGTGTTGGAGGCAACCAATCGATGTATCTGTCTCAATGATGTTTCTCTCTCTCCTGTCTCTCTTTCTTCCCTGCCCTCCCCCCCATTCCACTCTTTCTAAAAATCAATGGAAAAATATTGGGTGAGGTTTAACAAAATAAAAAAAATTATGTTTTACTAGTTAAATATAGGTCTTGCCCAAAATAATATATAACGATTAACTACCCTGAAAGTTTATTTTTTTAAAATAGATGTACATGCCAAAACCGGTTTGGCTCAGTGGATAGAGTGTCGTCTTGCGGACTGAAAGGTCCCGGGTTCGATTCCGGTCAAAGGCATGTACCTGGGTTGCGGGCACGTCCCCAGTGGGAGATGTGCAGGAGGCACCTGATCAATGTTTCTCTCTCATCGATGTTTCTAACTCTCTATCTCTCTCCCTTCCTCTCTGTAAAAAATCAATAAAATATATTAAAAAAATAGATGTACAAAAATAAACTACACAAAATTTTTCTTTATATTATGGTCTTTAAACTTTAAATGCAATGAAAAGTTTTATGCTGTAGAAAAGACAAATTTATAGCAGAAGACAATAACATATGGATACATCCTGAAGAGCAAAGGTAATAACACTTATTACATATGCAAATTGTCCAAGAGAAAATATGGCACTTATTTAGATTGTCAGTAGATTTGGTTATAAACTGATATACACTTGGATGTTTTTAAAAGGTTGTTAATAAAGAACTGGTGAGAGATGATATCAGTGGGAGGTAGCATTTATAAAAGGTTTTAGAAGATAATGGTAAAAGTACTGGACCTAAAATTAGGGTTTTTTACAACTTTTAAATGTCAATGAGGATTCTAAACTTTATCCACAATGTTCTGTAAAATATTGGTTCCCTTTCTAAATTTTTCCTCTCATAAAAAAATGTAAAAATAACCTTCTTTAAAAAAAGGAAAAAAGATAACTCTCCAAAATCAATAGCAGCAAAGAGATATCTTAGAAGATGTATAGCATTCTTAAGGTCTAAAATAGTATAGACAAATGCAGATTTATATTAGAAGGTAAAGACAAATAATTTTTAGGAGTACAAATATTTATGAGCCCAGATGAGCTAAATTCCATAATGAGAATCATTAATCAAAGAAAAAAATCATAGGCTGTATACAAAAGATAGCTTTATTTTATATAACATGTTTCATATAAACTGCATTTCAAAAATATTTTACAGTTAAATTACATAAGACCTTGAACAGTACATCTGTATTATGTGTGATAAAGAGTATAGAAGCATGTAAATACATTCATTTGCAACTAAGTTAAACATTCAACTATAGAGCCAAGAGATAAGGAAGAAGGAAAGTAAGAATTACAGACAAAAGTAGGAAATATAAGGGAGACATTTTGTATACTACCTACAGCTAAAGAAAAGATGCCTATAAATGCTCAAAGATAGGAAACTGTGGACAGAGGACTGAAAAAGTAATAATAAAAATGCAAATAATAATAAAAAAGAAAATAATAATAGCTTCTAATGATAGGTTTTCAATAACGTACTGGGCAATTCTAGGAAGTTGGTTCAAACGTCAGCACATCCATTTATTATCAAAGACATTGCAATGACAAAGGTCAAAAGAGAACATCTCTGCAATTAGATTCACAGATTTGTGGAACAGGAATTCAAACCAGGATGCTGAAACAAATTTGAGGTCTATTGAATTTTGGAGGAATTGGCTGAAAGCTCAGTATTTGTGGGGTAAAATCAGGTATTTGAGAATTATTGATTCCTTAAAGACTCATCTGTATCACTTGTCACATGGCCCACTTCATCTTTACTCCAGCAAAAAACTAGTCATACTAGTTTTTCTCATACTTTATATATATATGTTTGTGTGTGTATAAATAACCTTTGTGTGTGTGTGATAAACCAGATAAAACTGTTTTTACTATTTTTTTTTCTTAGAAAACTCTATTTTTAAAGGGTTCATATAAATAGGTTAGGCTCACCTGGATAACATCCCTATGTTAAAAAGGATTTATTAATAATTTCAATCACAACTGGAAATCTCTTGCCATGTAACAGCACAATCACAGTAATAATGACCAAGGGGCAGAGGATATGGGGCCATCTAGATTTTTGCTTGCCATTATTCTATTCTTGCCTCTGCCCTAAACTATTTGCACAGCCAAAATTATAATTTTTAAATAAAACATATGCACCCTTCTCCTGACTCAGTTTTTAATTTATTATCTCCCAATCATTGTATACTCTTCCCAGCTTCACTTAACCAGTTG